TTTTTTTTGTGGGCTGAGGATCAAACCCAGTGCCTCACACATGCAAGGCAAGCACCCTACCACTGAGCTACAATCTCAGCTCCATACTACTATAAAAATATTTAACTTGTATAGATCACAAGGGAGAAAGTCAGGCACAGAAGCCCATGTCTATAATCCCAGCTATTTAGGAGGCTGAGGCAGGAGGATCATAAGTTCAAGGCCAGCCTCATCAATRTAGCAAGAGGCTATCGCAAAAAGTAAAAGGGCTGGGGATATAGCTCAATGGCAGAGTAGCTGGCTAGACCTTGRATTCAATCCCCAGCACTGCAAATAACCACCCCCCCCAACAGAAAACAAAAGCCAGCCCACCAAAACAACAAAAAACAAGAGGGAAAAGCAAACAAATTATGATTATGAGCCTAGACTCTTAAGATGTCCATGTGATGAAAGGCATTCAGAAAGGTCAGGGGATGGTTCTGGATTAAGGGAGTCTCAAGAGAGATGACAATTAAATGTAAGCAATCCTGGRTTGACTTATAGGTTTAATACAACAAAAGGCAATGAAGAACATTTCTGAAGAAGGTAGAATATGAAACTGTATTTGAGAAAATGTTATTGTATCATTGTTAAAGGAATGAACGTGGCACCGTGGTCAAGTGGGAGAATATCTCCTTCTTAGTAAACATTTTGAGTATATGATGTCTACAACTAACTTTAAAATGATTCAGCAAAAAGAAAAAACACACCCAGGTTCAGTGGCTAACATCTGTAATCCCAGCAATTTTGGAGGCTGAGGCAGAAAGATATCAAGCTAAAGGCCAGTGACTTAGAAGAGCCTGTCTCAAAATTAAAATTAAAATAAACAGGGGGCTGAGTATATAGCTCAGTTGGTGGAGTGCTTGCCTCACATGCACAAGACCCTGGGTTCAATCCCCAGCACCACCAAAAAAAAAAAAAAAAAGAGAGATATAAAGACAGAGAAAAGTAGACGCAGACCAGTGTGGGGTATGAAAGTACTTTTTAAATTTTTTCCACTTTTTTTTTTTTTTTCAAAATGTTTTAATCTGAAGTGGAGATGGAGAGAGGTTTTACTGCTTTAAAAAAAAAAACCAAAAGCAAAGCTAATCAGAGTTACAGATCTTTCAATAAGAGAATGACTTGTCTTAGTCTTATATTCTCATATCCATGGCATTTGTACCATTTTCTTTTTTTAAGGTAACGGGGATTAAACCCAGTGGTGCTTAACCACTGAGTCATATTTCCAGCTCTTTATTTTTTGAGATAGGGTCCCGCTACAATGTTCAGGGCCTCACTAAATTGCTAAGGCTGGTCTCGAACTTGCAATCCTCCTGTCTTTACCTCCCAAGTCACTGGGATTACAGGTGTATGCCACTGCACGCAGCCTTTAGTATCATCTTGAAGTGTTCTTCAGAGATCTTAAATATTTTTAAAAAATATTTATTGTTAGTTATAGGTGGATATAATATCTTCATTTTATTTTTATGTGGTGCTGAGGATCGAACCCAGTGCCTCTTGCATGGTAGACGAGCGCTCTACCTCTGAGCCCCAGCCCCAGCCCCCAAAGATCTTAAATATTTACTCCTAATTTGTTCATTTTGCTTTATGTGTGTGATTTATTCTTCCATTTTTCAAATGTTTCTTGTTTGCAGTTGGGAAACTGTGTGTATTAATTTTATAACCACTCATCTTGTTAAATTTCTTATTTTTCCACAAATATCAGCTTATGCTCATGTTTTCCAATAACATATCACGTACAAATAAGATATACAGTACAGGAAGCTCTGTTTACCCTATGTATCTCAGAAACTGTCTCCTTATTTCTTCAAAAACTACTTCCTTTCTTGGCACACACTGGAACCTGCTCCTCCTCAGCACAGAGGTACAGCTGTGCATTCTATTTGTATAGCTTATTTTCCTAAAGGGGAAGGGGGCAGGGCAGCCCTGCAAGTGCTACTCACATGGCAGAAGATCATGGCTTGTGCGATGGTGATGGCCCCATACAGGTTGCACAAGGCCTGGAACTTCTCRTCTCTGTTATTGCACAGGACATAATACTGCTTAATGGTGTCCAATGTCTCCTCCTCACGCTTCAGTTTGATAATGTTGGGGTCTGGGACCACTTTCTGGGCAAACTTCCACACAGAGTCTTCAAAGGTGGCAGAGAAAAGCAACATCTGGCAGTTCCTGGGCAGCATCCTGCAAGGTGAGACCCAGGCACTTTATACAGCATCCCTGGGATAGAGAGAAGAAGCAGGTCCAGGGTTGCATAGGGGTGGGTTAGGGTCCCAGATCTCCTTTCCCAACCCAGGCTGGGAGGATGGTCAGTGCTGACGTGAAAATGGCCCACCAAACAATTGCTTTTTCAAATATCAGAGTAAAAAATGCAACAGCGGGCTGGAGTTATGGCTCAGTAGTAGAGCACCTGCCTAACGTGTGTGAGGCCCTGGGTTCAATCCTCAGCACCACATAAAAATAAATAAATAAAACTGTACATAATACAACTTAAAAAATATTAAAAAAAAAAAAAGAAAAAGAAAGAAAAAATGCAACAGAAGCAAGCGGGGCATCTGAATTTCCTCCTCACTCTAGTTCTTACCTCTGGATGCGGATGCTCTGATCTTGGTGGCCTTGAGTGGCTATCATCACGTCAGCCTCATCTAGAACAAATACCTTGATCCTCTTAGGGTCAATGAACCTGAGCTTGGAGCACCAGTCCAGGACAGTCCCAGGGGTACCAATGACAATCTGCTCACTGATCTTCTGACCCCTTTCCACTGTGGAGATGAAATGTTTTCTGTGGGTATTTCTTTTTTTTTTTTTTT